TGAAAATAAGTAATCAGTAAAGTAACGGGATTACTTTTTTGGGGAAGTAATCAGTAATTAGTTACTGATTACTTTTTTCAAGTAACTTGACCAACACTGTTCATGACTGAGTTGCTGTGGTTAAGAGATATTTGTAAAAATATCACTTAAAGTTGGTTGAAAGTCATAAACTGATTTGTTACAGATGGTGTCATAATATTACAGTATAAAAAGTTTGTAAAGGCAGACGGTTAAGTGCTTGATTTTGTACTCCTGTGACAATGGGACTGAAAACTCCTGACTTTAAAGAATAAGAAATCTGTTCAAGTACTGTTGTCCTTGTAGTGTAGCATGGCTGCTGTGCAAGAATACTCAAGAGTTCAAACAACTACAGTTTACAGAAAAGGGACTGATTTGACCTGGTGCAAGGTAGGTTGAAGTCTCCATACTCACTGGTAGGTTAGGTAAAGGGTAGCAGGCATCAATTTGAATTTAAGAATGCTCTTAAGTATCATTTGCCAAATTCCACTTTTATGGCTCCAGGCTGGAGAGTAACTTTGATGGTATGATACCCCATGTAGCATTTGTTAATAGACTGCAGATTAAGTAAATCCACACGAGCCTTAAACCTCCAACAAGCCAACAAAGAATACACAATCATTTATTTTAAGGTGATTTATTTTTCTTCCAACACTAGGGTTCCCCCACCTCCTAGATCCCCTATAACCCTTGATTAACACTAGCATAATCATGCAAATGTACTTTACGATACGACAAAAGAACCTCAAACCACAAGCTTCGTCATCAATGACTGTGTGCTGGGATTCTTCCTTTAACTGCCTAATCAGAAACTGCTGTTGAACAGTCAGTACAAAGTTAATCTAAAAGGTTTGTACTTCATGACTTCTCCTCACAGACGACGGTGAAACCAAACTATGACCTTATCACTTTGCCAGGAATCTTTTTTTCCCCTCATAAAGACTAAATGAGGAAATGTGCAATGCACATCTGCATGATTATGGTCAACAGCTCTTCTTCATATGCATCTCAGTGGTTCATTATGGTTAAGGAACAGTCCTCACACTCTGGCCTTGATCTCTCTCACTTCTCCATCTGCCACTCATAGCTTTTGTTATGCAGATGTTGTCTCTTCAGTTCTAATTATCACAATGTTTATTTACTATTGACTACTTCTTCAGGCAATTTTCTGTTATTCCCTTTGACATTTTGGGACAATTAAATTCAAATTTTCATTGTTACTAAGCACAGATTTATTATACTCTAAGAGAATAAAAGCAGAACTAAATAAACTT